GACATACCAAAAAAGAATGACACAGAAGAATTTCAAGAAACAACATATAATCAAGAGGCAAAGGTGATAAATGAGGAAGTTCAGGCTTCTCTGAAGGATGTGGCAAAAAATAAGTCCCAGGAACTGATGAAATACCTATTGACATATTTCAACAGATGCTAGCCCGGACTTGCTCACCAGGCTGTGCCAAGAAATCTGGAGGCCAAGGACTTGGCCAACTGACTGGAAGAGATTCATATTTATTTCCATTCCAAAAAAAGGGGTGACTTGACAGAGTGTGGAAATAATTGAACAACATCACTAATATCACACTTAAGCAAAATCCTGCTAAAGATTATAAAAAAAGAATGGCTGGAACAGTATATCGACAGAGAACTTGCAGAAAGACAAGCTGGGTTTAGAAGAGGTCATGGCTCTAGAGACATTATCGCCAATGTCAGATGGATCTTGGCAGAAAGCAAAGAGTACCTGAGGAATGTCTGTGTTTCATTTACTATGGAAAAGCATTTTATTGTGTGGATCACAAAAAACTATGGTTAACCTTGAAAAGAGTGCGAATCCCAGAATACTTGATAGTGCTTATGTGAAACCCATACTTGGACTAGGAAGCAAGTATTGTTCTCAGAACAGAACAAGGAAACATTACATAGTTCAAAATCAGGAAAAGCATGTGTCAGGGATGAATCCTATCTCCATACCTTTCCACTCTATATGCAGAACAGATCATCCAAGAGGCTGCGCTCTATGAGGAAGAATGTGGCATCAGGATTTGAGGAAGACTCATCAATAACCTATGTTAAGCACATGATACAACCTTGTTTGCTGAAACTGAGGAGACCGTAAGTCCTTGCTGCAGAAGGTCAAGGGCTGTAGTCTTCAGTGTGGATTGAAGCTCAGTATCAAGAAGACAGATTCTCACCACTGGTCAATTGGCAACAAGATGATGGATGCATAATCAATATGCTTAACACCAGCAGTCAATAAATCAAAATATGAATTGCACTGGGAAAAAGTGCTGTCAGGTACCTCTCCAGAGTAATGAGAAGTGATGATTTCAGGTTAGAGACTGAGGTGAACCTGATCCACGCCATGGTCTTTACAATTACTTGCTATTCATCAGAGAGCTGGACAATGACTAAGGATGACAGAACAATCAATGTCTTTGAGTTGTGGTGTGAGAGAAGAGCCTTGAGACATGGGTTGCTAATAGGCCTGTCTTAGAGAGGATGAAACCTAGTTTCTCCTTGGAGGTTAGGATTTTGAAGCTCCGTCTCACATACTTTAGGCATGTGGCCAGCAGGAAGCTGTCCTTGGGGAAGGACCTCAGGCTCGGAAGGGTGGAGGGACCGTGCAAGAGAGGAAGCCCCGGAACGAGATGGATTGATAACAATCACTGGGGCAATGACGTAAGTGTGTCAGAGTCAGTGAGACTGGTTCAGGATAGGGCAGGCTTCAAGGCTGTAGTACATAAGGTTACTATGCAGGCGACTTGACGATTCTTAACAATAACAAGGAATATTTTGCTAAAGGTCATCCAAAACCAGTTAGAACAGTATATAGACAGAGAACTGTCAGAGATATAAGCAGAGTTTAGACAACATTGTGGTACCAGGAATATTACTGCTGATGTCCGCTGCATCCTGGCTGAAAGTAGAGAATACCAGAAGAGTCTATGCAAATGCATTTGACTGTGTATATTTTAACAAACGATGGCTAATATTGAGAAGAATGGGAATTGCAGACTACTTAATTGTGCTCATACAAAACCTATACCTAAGTCAAGAAGCTTCTATGTGAATAGAGCAAGGGAACACTACATGATTTAAAATCAGAAAATGTGTTCATAGGGTTGTATTCTTTCTCCATACCTATTTAATCTGTATGCTGCGCAAATCTTTGGAGAAATTGGACCCAATGAAGAAGAATGTGGTATCAGAATCAGAGAAAGGCTCATCAACGATCTGAGCCATGCAGCTGACACACCTTGCTTGCAGAAAAGTGAGGACTTGAAATCTCCGCTGCAGAAGACCAAGGACTACAACTGTCAGTACATAATGCATCTCAACATCAAGAAGAAAACTCACTACTAGACCAATAGGCAACATCCTGATAGATGGAGAAAAGAATGAAATTGTCAAAGATTTCCTCTTATTTGGATCCTCAATCAACACCCATGATACCAGAAGTTAGGAGACCAGGAGATGTGTTGCAACAGGAAGTCTGCTGTCAGGGACCACTCCAAAACACTGAGGTTCAATGATGTCAGTTTAAAGACTAAGGCACACCTGATCCAGGCAATGGTCTTTTCAGTCACTTGCTATGTCTCTGAGAGCTGGACAATAAATGCAAAAAAGATGACAGAATTGATGCTCTTGAGGCGCGGTGCTGGTTAAGAGTACGGAATATCCCAAGGACTGCCAAAAGAGTGCATGATTTGGGAAAAGTGCAGCCAGAATGCTGCTAGGAAGCAATAGCAAAGCTTTGTCTCACATACCTTGGGCATGTTGCTAGGAGAGGCTATTCCTTGGAAAGGGACATCATGCTTGGAAAGGTGGAGAGTCAGCAAAAAAAGAGTAAGAACCTCAACAAAATGGATTGTCACTGTGACTGCAGCAATGGGCTCCTGTATGTCAGAGATGATAAAGGTGACACAGGATGGGGCCTGTTCATAGGGCTGTGAGTCACAGTTGAAGGCACCTAACAACAATAATGATATAGGACAGAAGGGGGCAGTAAGATGACTCACAAGATGTAGTAAATATTAAATATTAACATAGTCATTACAACAAAAGATGCAACAGGACTGAAAGCAAACAGCAGTTATATCAATGAAAGACCTGGATGGAATTTACTATATACAAGATTTCAAATTGGCTCAAGTTGCAATTGGGCTTTACACAGGAAACACTCAAAACACAGCAATTCAAGTCCACAACAAAGCAACGGAAAAAACTTTTTTTAGATCAATGGAAACAGTATAGTTGCTAAAATCGTGGCCTCGTAGGAAGAAGCTGCACTGCAATCTCAAAGTCACACAGTTTGAATCCACCAGCTGCTCCATGGGAAGATAGGCAATCTCCCCCCATGCGATTTTCTGCCTCAGAAAACCCTCTGGAGAGTCAGCTATGGGTTGGTTCTAATGCAAGTATAATTAAAGACAAAAACAAACAGAATCCAGATATAAAATGCCCTTTCAACACAGGAAGGTATGTCCAACCAACTTCTTCCTCATAATAACATAGTTATTCCTTACCCACCAGTTCAGCAAGTCAACCTCTTCCAAAATTTTTTTAATCTTTGGCTTGGGCAATTACTTCCTATTATTCTGTATTTGGTGACACTTAGTTTTGTGTAAATTGCGCTACTGATTAACCCCAACACCATCTGGTGAACTTCAAAAATAAATTCTCAATTTGAGAATATTAACTAAGAGTACACAAGTTTTCTTTAGCTTTGAAATTTCATCTCCAGGCTCTGAACTGGTAACTGAGCTTGCAGTTACAGCAAGCCTATTTTGTGAACTGTCTCCTAGTGTCACTGTAAAGTTGGGTGGCACTTCCCTCATTAATGCCATTAGAAATATACCAGGATTCATTTCCTACCCTTATTTACTACCTCTCCTTGAATCAAGAAAATTGAACTATAGGTCCTACATGTTCATGTTATTTCATGTCTTCATAGAACTGTTTAGTCTCATTGTCCTTAACAGAGCATGGGTTGATGATTTTATTCTTATGATAATAGATTCAGATGAGTTTTAACAGTCTTTTTATATTGCATAATGGTCTGATAAAAGAGTTGACTTATTTTCTGCGCTTTTAATTTAAAAGATTGCAATGCAAACTATACGTGTTGGCTGGTTCTCATGTCCATGAGACAAAGGACGGAACAAGTGACCAGGTCAATGCACTCTTAAGAAAAAATAATCTGAAACAAAATGTTAATAGTACTGAGGAAAAAAGCTCCTCTAGAGACTGTTGTTAGGTGCTGGAAGTACAACTCATAGCAACTACAAGCTCAATTAGAGATTGTTATGTACCACTGTCAGGACTGATCCATAACTGATCCTGCAGTGAATTTTTAAAGGCAGAAAATGATACTAGAGGCAAGTGCCCATCTTTCTCTTGCAGAACAGCTGGTGGATCTGAACCATGTGCCTTTGGGTTGGCAGCACAGCTCCTTACCATTAGGCCACCAATGCTCCCTATTTAGAAATTGTCATTGCTGTGTACCATCAAGTTGGAACCGACCCATTGCTGATCATCCAGCAGGTGTTCAGAGGCAGTTTGACTGCATGCGAGGAGACTGCCTGCCCTTCGTCTGCAGAGCAGACTGCAGCATGGTTTCTCACCATTTGTTCACCAGCGCTCCTTAATTAGGAATTGTGTTGCATATCGTTGAGTAAGAATTGATCCATAGCTGACGCTCCAGTGGGTTTTCTAGGGCAGTTAATCACACAGGAAGACACTGCCTATCCTTCTTCTGTGGAACATCTGGTGGGTTCGAAACACATGCCTCTGAGATTGCAGGGTAGTTTGTTACTTCTAGGCCACCAGAATTCCAATTCACAGCATGGCTTCATTGAGTTTCTAAGGGTGTAAATCTTAAGGGGAGGAGACTGCACATCTTTGGACTCGATTCAAACTACTGACCTTTACGTTATGCATTATGACACCAGCATTCTCAAATAAGTGCTTGTTGGTTTTAACTTTTGTTTTCCTAACCCCTTTTCTCTTTATCTCTGACTTAGAATAAATGAGAAGATCAAGTTATAGTATAATTTTTTTGGACCACGTAAAAAAGTGCTTATTTTTACTTTTATTGTTAAGTATTTAGTTTTATTTTGCTAGCATGGAATATCTGTGTAGGTTTTAACTTTCCACTCAGATAGATGCAAGAGGGGTGGATCTCCAATAGTGGGTAAGAGATTTCTCACTAGTCTCTAATCACGAAATAATCCAAAAGCTGCCACTATAGAATCATTCACACCAGCACAACAGTGCTCCTCCAATAATGTATTTATTTACATGAAAACACCAGTTTATACAAATTGAAGACAAATCTTTAAGAAAGGTTTGTCCATGCATGTCTTCCTCATTCCTTGGTTCACTCTTTCTCTCTTCCATCTTCCCTGATATCATAATCAAAAGGCTTTAGATTGGTTAACAGAAACAAAATCCACCCCTTTTCCACCACCAAAAATTACTTGGAATGTTTAACGTCTGTAAGTCATCTTTCAAAGAAAAGTCTAGCCCAGGGTAATTTTATTTAATTTATTTACGTAATACAGTGTAGAAAGCTATCATGTCATAAGCAATGCTTCTGTACAGTTATCCTGCAGAATTTTTTTTTTTAGAATTGGTAATTTGAGACCAGCAGAGCCTCCCTCCCCCCTCCCTCCACCAGTAAAAGTGCTTATAATGAACAGGGATTCTTCTTCATTTTTTCCTTTTTCTTTTTTTTTATCAAAGATCCAAAGATACATGGACAAAAAAGTTCCAATTCTCAATGCCTAACGTGTGCACATAAAACAGGCACAAAGACATAAACGTGTATCCTCGGAATTCCTGTATCACATTGAGAGCAGAAGCAGCAAAGTCTGTACAGTAAAATGCAACTGTGGAAAAGAAAGTCTCAAAAATCATCTTTTATACTTAAAAAAAATGCTTAACTTTAAAATGCATAGTGATCAGGAAAAGAATACTTAGGCAAGAGAAGCAGCTAAACTCCCACGTTCACATGAAGCATCCCCCATCGAGTCTTAAAGCATATTTCAATTAGGACTTATTTGGGTCACAAACCACAAGAATAATATACAACTGGCTAAGGGGCCACGCGTGATAAATAATCAGGAGAGATCTATTCATGCACTAGTTTGATACAGCTAAGTTCTTTACAGGACACAAAACCCATTAATAATGTAGTGTAGAGACCAAAATGTAAAGAGAAGAGAATACATTACTGATTTGTATATTAATTCAAGTTCAGGCATCTACTTGTGTTACAGCACAGCTGTCAAAAGGCGATAATGAGTAAATAAGAAAACAGGTTTGTTTCTTTCCACATTATTCTAAGAATGAACACCGATGGGTTGTGAAGCAATGGTTTTGCTGTCCAACATCAGAGGCTGCTGTGGCGGTGGTCTAGTTCTGCATCTGCTCAAAGAACTTGTAAGTTGGATTTTCATAGCCATTCTGCTGCATCTTGGAGAGGTGGCGCTCCTCTGGGGTCACAGCCGCGTCAACCTGCAAAGCAAGGGTGATCAGAACGGAGTGTTTACAAAGGAAAAAAAAAAACCACTAAAAAACCACATCTAAGTAGTGACAAGTGTACATGAGTGAGCGGCAAAAAAGAGAAAGAGCCCAGTTTCTCTCTCTCTTTTACCAAGACTGCAGAAACCTACCATATTCTTTTTCCTTTCCTTCCACCTTTGGTATCTCTGAGCAGCACAAGAATACTTACGCCCATCAGTTCTATTTCATTTTTGCCACCAGGTGGCACTCACACATGCGGGCTCAGGCTTGTTGGAACAACATCGCTGGTTGCTTCTGCCACGAGTTAAGTCTACTATCACATCTACTTTTTCCTTCTCAACTGGCAGAATAAGGGAGCAGTGGACCAGAAGCCACAAAGGAAGGCAGTTTTATGTTAATGGGCGACTGTATTATTTGAAAGTATAGCAGTAAATTTTGGGGGGCGGATCTTGTAACGTGTCACAAAAAGGGATTAAAATTCTGGGTGATACTCCATACTCTGTGTGGAAAAACATTCAGTTTCCTGGACTGCTCAACATTTCCCATAGCTTACTGTAATTAGTTTCATATGTTAAAGAGAGGTCTAAGAATTTCTTAATGAAAAGAATGTCACACACACAGAGATACATCTTTGTATCTCAATTCAATCATTGTTTTTGAGTCAGGATCTACTCAAGAGTTGACACTCCACTGGGTTTGTAAAGTTGTAAATCACACAAGAGGAGACTGCCTGGTGGATTCAAGCAACCAGAGAGGCTTGGCCTTAGCAGAACAGTTCTCTATCAATGAAGGCATTGCTTGGTATTTGGAAAAAGAAAACCTACATAGCAAGGACACGCTTTTCTGGGATACAGATTTGCTTTTTACTGAACACTCACTGCCAGTAAATCAGTTCAGACCCGCTGGGACCCCCTCATTGGGTTTCTGAGGCTGTAAATTGCAGTGGGAGCAGACTTTCTCCTTTGGAGCTCCTGAAGGATTCAAACCATTAGAGACACAACTTTTTGGATAGCAGTGCAATACTCCATGGACTATGCCCCACCCTCCCTGAGCAGTGCTGTCGAGTCAAATAAAGTGTGATTCACGAACAACAAATCTGAACCATGTCTAATGGCAACCAATGATCCTGTGCCATTCCTGTCATCTCTGATATACCTGGTCCCACTGCTGTGGCCAATGTGTCTGTGCATTTCATTCAGGGCTTTCCTCTCTTTTGCTGACCTTCCACATTTCCAAGCATGATGTCTTTTCCCAAGGTACAGCTTCTAATAAGATGCCCAAAGCACATTAGATGGAGCCTCACCATCCCTGCTAAGGAGCACTTTGGCTGCGCTTTCTCCAGGATGCAGGTTTGTTCTTTTGGTAGTCCACTGGACACTCAGAACTCTTCAACGTCACAATTTGAAGGTATTGATCTTTCCTAGGTCATCTTTATTAACTGTCCAGCTCTCAGATGCATGGCTTGAATAAGGCAGACCTTAGTCTTTAAGCTGGTATCACTGTTCTTCAAAATTTGGAGAGGTTCCTAACAGTAGACTTCCCCAACGCAAAACATCTTTTGATTTCTTGACTGCTGGTACTGTGACAGTGTTGATTGTGGAGAAGGCAAGATGAAATAATCGACAACTTCAATCTTTTCTCCATCTATCATGATGTTGACTACTAGTCGGGGGGGGGGGGAATTCTTGGTTTTCTTGATGTAATCTGTATTGATGTGATCTTGATGTGTGCTGTAATCCACATAGAAGGCTGTGGTCTGATCCTTTTCAACAAGTGCTTCAAGTCGTCCTTACCTGCAGCAAGCAAGGCTGTGTCATCTGCCTAATGGTTGTTGATGAGCCTTCCTCTGATCCAGATACAAGACCCTTCTTCAAAAAGTTCAGCTTCTTGAATGATTTGTTCAGCAAACAGATTAAATAGGTATGGAGAGAGGATACAGACAGCCATGACGCACATCTTTCTTGGTAGTAAGCCATGCTTTTGAACAATAGTTTCATCATCTAGGTATAGGTTTTGTGTAAGCACAATTAACTTTTGGAATTTCCATTCTCCTCTGTTAGTTGCAGTTTGTGATAATACACCGTTGGCTTTTTTTTTTTTTTTTTAATTTGCACTGACTTGTGCAGAGTTAACAAAACACAAATAGGTATGCTCTGGTATTCTCTGCTTTTAGATAGGATTCATCAGATATCATCAATGATATCCCTGGTGCCAGGACCTCTTCTAAACCTAGCTTGGCCTTTTGTCATTTCTTTTGTCAAGACACTGTTCTAACCATTTTTGGATGATCTTCACCAATATTTCTGCTTGCATGTAATAGTAGTAATATTGTTCAATAATTTCCACATACTGTCAAATCAACTTTTTTGGGAACGGGAACAAATATGGATCTCTTCCAGTTAGCCAGGTACCCGTCTTCCAAATTTCCTGGCTTAGACTTGTAAGCATATGCAGGGCTGCATCTGTTAGCTGAAACATGTCAACTGATATCCCATCAATTCCTGGGGCCCTACTCTGCCCCCCACCCCCATGCCTTCAATGCAGCTTAGAATTCTTCGCTCATCACCACTGACTCTTGATCATATGGTACTTTTGAAATATTTCTGTGTCTACCAATCCTTTTTGGTACAGTGACTATGTATTCTCTCCTTTTTTTTTTCTTTTTTAAAATGCTTCTTGGATCAAGAGTTTGTTTTTCAGTTTTTTCGGCTCAGAATGATACAGAGAAGATTAGCATGGTCCCTTGTGCAACAATGACACACAACGAGCACTACGATCCCGTAATAGCTTGCCAAACTGCCTGTTTTAAAGGGTTAAAAATAGTCCCCTTCTCTTTCTGTGCTCCTTCACCTCTAAGATCAGGGTCCCTGGGTAGTGTAAATGGTTAAGAAGCTCAGCTGTGAAATGAAAGGTCAGAGGTTCATGCCAACACAGAGGCACCTCACAAGAAAGTTCTCAAGATTCACCTCCAAAAACCAGCCACACACTGAAAATCCCATGGAGTACACCTCTCCTCTGAGGCGGTCCCCTGTGAATCATGACTGACTTGACAGCAACCACTGAGTCCTAAGGCAGCTGACAGAGCCAGAGCTAGACCTCCAGCCCTGGGCCAGCGCTACTCCACCGTGTCCTCATGTGCCTGTGAACTGTTCAGAGACACCCGCGGGTTCGGGTCACAGATCTTCAGATCCCAGCAGTGACCAGCCTACAGGTCTCTTAGAACACCACCACCACCAAGCGCTACTTAACACTCAGCAGTCAGAAGATTCTACTCAGTGGCTCCCCAGGGGCTGACTCACAGACGTTTTCCTGTCCTCTCCTCTCCCTATGATCTGCACTGCTGTCAACAGATGAGGTCATTCTGCTTTAATTGGTAACTGTGCAATTAGCTACGGACTTGTAAGTCAAAAATGCCACCATTAAAGATTAGCACCAATAAGGAGGTGTTGCATTCGCTTTCCAAATCAGCTTGCCTGCAAACAGCCTGTCTGCAGCAGTATGCCATTTGAACGTGGGAGGCTTTCGGCTATATACCCCCTCTGAAAGTAGATTTCAAAGAGCTTGGGGATTTAAAAAAAAATTACTTTGCTTCAGAGATAAAGCACACAGCTGCTACGTTTTCTGAAAGCAGGAAAAAAAAAATTCACAATGCTATGCTACTTCACTGTGGGACTATTATACTTTTATCTCTTCCAGGAGGTACATCAACCTTCACTCTGGCTGTCAACAAACTATTTGCATTCATTAAGGGCAAGTGAACACCTGGCAATTGAATAGCTTAGCTCATCCTCAAAGTCCAAAGACAAACACAGAGGAGAGCCCAGCCGGAAATGTGAGGCCCAGAGATTTAGAGTCCTCCTCAAGCTTCCCTGACTTTTCTCAGTCTCTTTTCCACTTGCTAATCCTCATCCCCTTTGCTGCCTTTGAAAGGGCAGCTCACCTTCCACCACTCCTGCAGTGAGAGGCTGGGCCTTTAGACCTTAGAAAGCTCTGGATCTACAGTAGATTAGCTTCACAAAACTGCAGCCATGGGATTTGGATTGCACCTTCTTTATCGCTGAGCCCTCCAAAACCAGAAGTGAAGAGCTGGGTACTAACAGCCACAGACAAGTCAACCACTAAAGAAAGAGCAGCCAGCTCTGGTAGTGGCACTGTTAACCCAAAGGTGGCATCTCGCTGGTGGTCTGAATCCACCAGTCACTCTGAGGAAGAAAGATGGGCACTCTCTTCCTGTGTTATTTAAAACTTTGGAAACTCAGTGGAGGGTCAGTTCTGAGTTGGTTCCGACTCAATGGCAAGAGTACTGAGAAAGGAAGAGCAGGGGCACTGGTGATGGAATTCTCACGACACAGAACATCTGGATCTGATTTTTGCATTTCATGTGCAGCCACTACCTCTCTCCATGGAGGCTGGGGTTATGCTACGTTGTTTACCAGATTTCAGTGGAGCTTTTAGACTAACACGGACTAGGAAGAAAGGCCTGGCAATCTACTTCTGAAAAATACCAGCCAGTGAAAATGTTATAGATTGCAATAGTCCAATTCATAACCGGTCACGGTGACAGTGCAGGTGCATGACCTGGCAGTGTTTCGTTTGGAGCTGACTTGATGGCAGTAACAATGACAATAAAGAACAGCATTGTTTAAGAGCCAATCTGTTCCTCAGCAAGGCCCATAAATCTCTTCCTCGTGGCACAGGCAGGTTCACTAAGACAGTTATCACTCTTAACACTTCGGCATTATTTCCCTTAAAGCACAGGGAGTGGAGTTTGAGCCAGTGGTGTTTGTTCTGAAATGCATGATGTGCCTGTTGTTATTAGGTGCTTGTTTAATCAACTTGGACCCCTAAGAAAGCCAATGAATAGCATATCAAAGCCTTGCCCTGTCCTGTGCCATCCACGTGCTCTCTGCCATGCAAGCTCATTGTTCCAGTCACTGTGTCAGCCCATCTCATCCAGAGTGTTCCTCTCTTTTGCTGACCTTTCACTTCCT